CAAGGTGACACGCTCGGTCGGATGAAACCGAGTCGTAACAGTTCCTGAATCTGAGTCTTAAGCTTCTGCAACTCCTTTGGCGTCATACGGTACGGGGCTTTGGATACTGGACCGGCTCCTGGAATGAGATCGATAGAGAACTCCACCTGCCGGTTAGGCGGTCCTCCTGGAAGCTCGTCTGGGAACACGTCCACAAACTCACGAACAACTGGAACATCGTGAGGTGAGCGTGCTTTCTGAGATTCATCGACAAGGCTCACCAGATAACCCTGGCAGTTGCCTCGTCGTAGCAACTTAGTGGCTTTCGCCATCGAAACAACATGAGGCAATGAACGATTCCTGGAGCCAAAGAAAGTGATCGAGTCGTCTCCCGGAAGATAAAAAGTAATCTCCCGGTCATGGCATCTGATATCCGCATGATAAAAAGATACCTAATCCATTCCGAGAATAAGGTCGAAATCCCTCATCTCGAGAACAAACGCGTCGGTAGACAATACTCGGCCACCGATGGAAAGGCTAAGATCTGAAGCTTTAGCGGAAGTCACTATCTTTCGTCCCGAGGCTAAACTCACCTAGAGAGGATCGACAGCGGTAACAGCATGAACTCCGATGGCATCAAGACATCGTCGTGAAATGAAAGAATGTGTCGCTCCAGTATCGAACAAAGCAAACACAGGAACATTATTAAGAACAACCATCCCTGACATAGTACCTGGCTGCTGCTCGGCCTCTGCCTGATCGACTACGTAAACTCGGGCCTGCTGTCTGCCCCTCTGCTGCTGCTGCTGAGGCGGCCTCTGTGCCTGCTGACGGGGCTGCTGCTGCTACGGTGGCTGCTGAGGTTGTTGCGCCTTCTTCGGACAACGGTTCGCAAAATGTCCGGGCTCGCGACAGTAGTAGCATACATCCTGAGCAAAGCGACACTCGCCTCGGTGAAGTCGTCCGCAAGTCGGGCACTGTGGGATCTGCTGTAGCCTCCGTCGGGTCCTCTTATCCGTCGGGGCACCTTTCCCCTTCCTCTTGTTGTTCTTCGGTGGCTGGGCAGATGGTAGAGCTGGCATCGGTGGAACTGAAGATGACTGAGCTGGGGTGGATGGCTGGAATTGATCACGGACGGCCTCCCTCCTAATGCTAGCGTCCACCTCCTGAGCAATCGAAACTGCACGAGCGTACTTCTGTGTCCCGTGGCCTACGATGTTATGACGGACTACTGGGTAAAGCCCGTCAATGAAACGCTGTGCTCTCTGGGCCTCCGTGCGAACCAAA